ATGAACTACAAAATCAGTGGGAAAAAGGAACCTACATCCCTTTGATAACTGTTCAACATATACGGAAAGCATGAGTTTCGAAAAGCAGTATGCTTGGTAACGCCCCACATAGTAGGATAGAGGATCTGAAAACGAACGAGGACCTCACTCAACGATAGGTCTAATAAAGTCAGTACACGATATTGATAGTATTTTTAGTGCATTTCGCACTTTTTATTATGTTTTGAATATTCCTAAGAGAACTGAGTGGTGAGCAAAAACACGACCTCAGACGGGAATCGAACCCACGTTTCGTGAACGAAATTGCATTATAAATAAATAGAATAGCTGTCAGCTCAACTGGGTTTATAAAAAATCGCATACCCGACCAAACCTGTCAAAGGTTAGTGGCTGATAGCTAACACTGAGATGTTGAAGAATGAGTGGTCGAGCAAATGTGCCTCAGTGGTGTGGTGGTAGAGCACGCGTCCCCGGATAGGATGAAACGTGGGTTCGATTCCCGCCTGAGGTCGTGTTTTTGCTCACCACTCAATTCTCTTAGGAAAAGTCAGTACAATTGTGATGTGAACAAAGCAAAGCTCTCGGCCTTGATCAGTCCCTGCGGAGTGCACCATAAATTTCGCTGCATCAAGCATCGCTTGAATGAACGCATATCCTGCCTTTGCAATGACTCGTGGTGGCCTAAAGATTTATTAGTGCTGTCGACCGCGAAGGGCTAGAACGTTTGGTGAGCCTTGAGCGCGGAAGCGAACTACTGAGCATCGAATGCTCGACCAGATACGTGTCGTATAGCATATCTAACCATAAGCACTGCGTCATCATAGAATGAACAACAACAAAAAAAAAAAAAAGAAAATAGATCCGTTGGGAACGGACCGTGTTTTCCTGTCACAAAATTTTATTCCACCCTCTTTTCCTACTCTCCTGGATGAAGGGGGTAGACTTTGAACTTTGAACGTATATAGGCAAACCACGAATGACCCTATTCATTTCTCAACTACTGATGTAAAAAGGACTCTACTCAACCTTTCAGTCAGTTCAGTCCATTGAAATTTAATCTAAAAACCGAGATTAGTTGTTTAAAAGTTGATGAACCAACTACAAATCAATAAACCAGATCAAAAAGCCCACAAAATGAACTGTGTTCTTAGTATTGTCAGTAGAGCAAGAATAACTACATATCCAATAATGGTAAGTGATATGTAAAATTTTGAACTTCAAGCGAAAGTTGAACCCCAGTCTCACCTTTTCCGGAGGCGCTAACCACTGGACTACCACGATTCATGGTTCAAAAAAATACACAAAAGGTCACCTTTACGAAATATGAGACTCGTGAAGTGTGATACTTTGGCAGTAGCAGAGCTTGTGAAGACTATTCGAGCATTATGAGCTAAGATCGGCTTCAAAAGGTGTAGAAGCAGTGCTTGTGACACGACATTGACACACATGTGACTCTCCACATTGTCGACAAACTTGAAAAAAAATTGTTTAGGAAATATACGAGATTTCTTCTTATTATGGCGTTCTTATATATGTCCAAGAATGATAAGTGATATGCAAAACTCTCAGACACAGGGCTAGAACTCGCACTTCACCCATATTGGGGACGCATGCAACCTCTACACCACTGAAGAATAAGGTCAGTCACAGTTCAGCTAACACTTCTTGTTAATCGAAAAATTTGTCACAACAGTACTGTTAATGTAGAAAACACCTCACCCAGTGAATATTCCATCAAAGGCAAAACATTTTAATGATTCAGCACGTCAATAAAAACCTCAGTCGAACTCAGGCGAAATTGAACCCGCAATTCACACATACCGGGGCGTGTGTGACCTATTTACATCACGGCCACCGCTTTGCTACCACTCTTTCTCTAATATATCCCAATGTAACTGTCAGCAGCCAACCTTTTACGAGTCTGGCCGCAAGCTCACATCGGCATCGAACCCTGTTATCCTGATAGCTATTCGAAATGATAATTTACTGAATCCCCCGGCCACGGTGGTGCCGTGGTAGCACGGATCCTCAGCATGGGTTAAACCCGGGTTTAGTTCCCATCTGGGGTAGCATGCTTTGCATATCACTCATTCAATACTTATCTACAACGTAATTTATCATTAGTAAGAAGCAGTGAACCCTTGGGTCATTAATTAGCTCATCTACAATCCGACAGGTAAAACTGACGGAAAAGGATGATGGAAAAAATTGCTTTACCTCAGGAGCAGCCAACATAGTTCCAGCACACATCACAACAATGTTGAGTTCACTGCATCGAGTCACAAACCCACGAGCAAACATTGCCACCTAAGGCGTATCGCTTCGGTAATGACGATAACACGAGATACCGGTCACTTTCACACCTCATAAGGGGTTAGAAAATCGACGTCATATAGTCTAAGAGACGACTTCTGACCACCGAGTGATTCGAACACCTCAGCTGCCTTTCTCCGATCGCCAACGGTAGCATGGACGGTATAACCGTAATGAAGAAACCTCTTGATCACCTAAAGTAACTACGCTTATGCAACTCTGTATGTAATTTGATGATGCAATCCTAAAGAAAACTTTTTCTAATGGACACCGCTATGATTTCATCCTTTCGGTACCGCGCGCCCTGATATACGGCCTACTGATTGCCGCGCCGCGTCTCGGCTTAGTGAGGTTTATTGTAATGGATGCGTGCCACCGATACAAATCTGGCATTAATTTGATAGATTTATCTGATATTTTATTATTATTAAGAATAAGTGACTATTTTTACGACATCTACAATCAGTATTACCCTATAAAAAAATTAGATTTACTAAGCTGAGCAAAAAGTTCCGATAAGTTGCTGAAAATTCCATTTTTTGACTTTTTGTCGTTTTTATTGATATTTTTGCACACATTTATCTAGTTCATTGACTTCAGCACCAAACTGCCTGCAGGTCAGCATGCTTTGCGTGGCTGTTCCGCCATTATTGGAGAAAAAGCTTAGCGATTCTCAAAGAGGTCGATGAGATTAATGAGCGTGAAGATGCCGATCCGGCGACAAAATCGACTGTGGGCAGATGGTCTGAGCGATTCAAAGGAGGCAATTTGATCTCCAAGACAGGCCTCGTTCTGGCCAGCCATCTGTTTTGTATGAAAGTGACTAGCAAGCCGCTTTGGATGCTGAGTCTCTATCGAGCACTCGTTATTTGGCTGAAGAGCGTGGTGGTTCGTAGCGGACCGTTGTCAACAAGTTGTACCAATTTAACTTTGTCCACAAGATGCCTCGTCAGGATCAGCATGAGCTTTATCAGAATTGAAGTCTTTCGATGAACGCAACACTTTGCATGGCCGTCGATTTGAATCATCAATGAAGCTGAAGAAGCATGTCAAGATTTCTACGTTCAAAGGAGCCGGAACGATGCTCCGAGCATATCCAGAATTTTCTAGAAGAATGGCAGAAAGTCATGGATAATGGTGGTCCATACTTTGAATAATAGTCATTGTTTCTGTTGTTGATTTGAACATGAGAATGGACTTTCAAAATTCCCCAGAACTTTTTGCTTAGCCGTAGTACTAGTAGAGTACAACTTTGAACGACTTCTCACAATAACTTATGTAGGCATCCGGAGAATAATTTAGAATGTGCAATAGCACCAGAGAATATGAATTCCTATGCAATATGCACTACTATTTTTGACAAACAATCAGCTGTTTTTAAGCTTATTAAAGAGCTTTCATGTTGCTCGTGCTATCAATAGCCTTATTGAGGTCTCTACTGTAATATTCCATCTTTTACCGACCATATGAACCCCTTCAGTGACGATAGAAATCTGATCATTTTTCAGAGTACATTAACCTCTTACAACGAGATTCAAAAAACAGCATGTTGAAGGCAATGTCTAAATGCTTGATAATAGTCGTAAGTCATCGACTGGAAAATGGTGAGCACCACAGTTTCCAGTGGGTTTGACTGAGGAGGCACGTTTACCGTTCCTACTATAATTAAGGGTGACTAGTAGGGCGTGTGGCTTTGATGAGGCGGATACCGTCGAAACGTATGTAAGCCAGTAGAATATCAACCTCGAAAAGTCGTAAAACATTCTCGCAGACTATGAAAATTTAGCTTTTAGTAAAGAAGTACAACACTTCCACTTGAGCGCGCCCCACCAGCCCCTCGACCGCAACGCGTGTGAGGTGAATAATCAACGTGGTACCAAAAAGGTCAAATCTGCTACAACGGCATGACCTTGAGGTTTTTCACGTTCCGCTGAATTGAATTACGGGGTTAGGACTAGAATTATCAAAAGATGTTGCTGATTGCTCGCTGCCCACCTCATTTCCTATTGTACCGTCCCCACCGGTGATGAATGCACACTTTGCGCCAGCAGATCTCATCGCATTAGACTTGATTATATCATTTTCAAGTCGTTTCCCAATCCCTGGATTGATTACCTCCAAAACGTGAGTTGTTAGCGATATATGGAGAATACAAGTGAAGAAGAAAAACCTCAAAAATCAGTTCTTTTACGACGTAAACTGCAGCCAAAAGATAGACTCGGATCATAACTAGAATCTCAATCCATGGAGCCGGCAGAAGCTCCATTCCACGACGCAACAAAGGCATCATATTAGAAGCTAGTACTGGAAACTCATGCAAGTCTGAAAAGACTTTTTTTCGAAAATAGAAAGGAAAAGAAACAGGCGTTCTTATTTAAGGTGAAGGACGGCTAAGAACCAGTAGACACTATGAAGCATTCCTAAAATTATAATAGCCAATTCAACACTCCTGAATCGACGACATTATATACAGTAAAATATTTGTAAGACACCGAACATGGATACAAGTAAGGTCTCAGCTCTACCGAAATTTTCTTGAAAAAACCTTTTAAGATCAATCGGAATCCATTTATTTGACCACCTTTTGCGGTGGTATGATCCTATAATATACTCAATGATGTAGAGTGCTGTGCAAAAATATTTGCGTCAGCCGGGATTTGCACCTAGATCTCACTCTTTCCGGGAGCGCGTAAACCACAGTGCAACGGTTCAGCACGCGCTCCTGGAAAGAGTGGGATCTGGGTTCGAATCTCGGCTGACGCAAATGTTTTTGCACAGCACTCGACATTATTGAGTATATTTAAAAAACTTTTATACTCGACCGCTTTTTTTACCTCGCTTAGAACAGTACAATCTGATAACATAATTCAAGAATTTCAAGGGGTCTACTGTGGCACTCATACAATGCTAAATGTACGTTTCGGGCTTTCAGCCTCATTAGTAACACGGTGGGCTTAAACGTGCTATTGATGAGGCTCAAACGAAAAGCATCGTGCTCGGTAGAAAAAAATAGTCAATACAGAGGTATTACCAAATTTACCAATCATGAGCACACTTTAACACATTACTGATCCGTCTTCACAGTGTTTTTCACTCTGCGGATCCCTGTACTTCAAGCATTCGATTTGTTGTTTTGTCTTCTTCTTGAACGTCATAGAATATTGGTTGAGCGAGTCTCCTTGCTATCTCGAGGATAGCCTGGTTGTGGCGTTCATAGGCCGTTGTTGTTGTTGTTGACTGCCGAAGAGTCATGAACAATCAACTGTTAATCATTGCCGTGTCGGGTGATCTTGTCACTTGACAGACTTGCAGTGTAATATGTCTGTCGTCGATTCCTCTATATGTAGGGGCATATGCGACATCGGGATTGGCTCAATCGAAAGGCATCGCGCTAATGATGAGGCTGAAAGGACGAAACGGATGTCCAGCACTATATAAATGCCACAACAGACCCCATGAAAGGCTTAAAATATGTTATCAGTCTCTAAATAAATTTGTTCTGAGCCTTTCTTCCTCTACCATTGTTTTTACTCTATCTAATATTATCGAAAAGGGGAAAATGTTCCCTTCTTTAACCCTTTGGGGAACTTGATTGTAATGGTGGCGCTGAGTTTCTGATTAGTCATCTTAGTGCACTGCATAAACCAATAAAAAATTACGTTTCACTTTCGGCGAAAATTTTTCGGCTAATATCTGTGATAAACTTCTCATTGGAATAATAAAGTTACTTTATAGCTTCAAGAACGACGATCCAACAGCGAGCATGCTTCCCGGAGAGGTTTTTTTAGCGTTCTGTAGCAGCAAAAAAAGAACATATTTCGAGCTCAGAGTAATGAGTAGGCATCTAGAATTTCTTAGCGAGTTTCTCCGTCAGTACTGAATTAAAATAAAATGCTAGTACCCATACAACGATACAACAAAGCCTCCTTTACAAGGGAGGTCTGAACTCCTTGAGTGCAAAAATTGCCAAAGAATTTTCGAGCTTTATCGATGAGCTGACACAAAAACCACCCGTGTCTAGAGCCGCGCTGCTCACAGATTTAAACGCCAAATCCAGAAATGACTATTTTTGTTATCTAATTAGAAATTCTTCTTCCCTGAAGAAGATTCTGGTTATTCTGATAAATTAATTCCGTACAATCAATCAATCCCCCATTCCCCACACCCACAATTTCGTCGTCTATGTATTACTCCTATGTGCAAAGAAAACGAGGGTTAAACGTAATTTTATTTTTGTTGCTACAGCACACTAGAAAACCGTTCAAAAAGAAAGCCTACTGTTAGATACGTTGTTTTTCAAGCTAACGAAACGCGACTGGAAGTCCAATGAATAGGCCCATGCCAGGATGCGCAGGTATGCCCACCAGGCTTTTACTCGTGATTCGGTAACTTGAAAAACGACCATTCTAACAGTAGGCTTACTTTTTAAACGGTTTACTGGGTGCGCTGTAGCAATAGAAAAAGAACTACACTTCAACCTCGTTTTCTTGGTACATGGTAGAACATGCATCAAGATCATTCGAGCGTGTAGACGAAGTTGTGCAGTACGAAAATATCAAAAAAACTTAAAATTTCCCTCTAAACAGGAAAGATCTCTGGTCAAATAACGAAAAGCGCTATTTTTGGAATTGACGCTGAATCGCTGTGTGCATGCGGCTCGAAGGGCGCGTGATTTTCGTGTCGGCTTATCGACAAAACTTGAAGATACTTGATAATTTGTGCACGTCAAGAGTTGGGACTTCCACAGAATTGTAGAGGAGGCTTTGTTCTATCGCTGTATGGGTAGCAGTTTTCAAAATTCAATTCAATATTGTCGAAAAAACCTGCTATGAAGTTTAAGAAACCGGGTCATCACTCCGAGTGCGAGATATGGTGTTCTATTCGCTGCCACAGCGTGCTCGTTTTTGAAGCTATCGGATATCTAATAAAAATTTAACGGAAAGTCACCACAACTTCTATCCGAGCAAAAATGCTTACTGAAGGTAAAATTTATTCCCTCTTAGCTACTACAATACACTAAGATGACTTTTCAGAAAGCAAGCACAATATTGAAATCACCGTTGCTGAAGCTGTCGAATAAGTATAGAGCTTTATGTGTGGTATTAGACGATATAAAGAGCCCACCAAAAACTAAGTGTGTGCGCAAACATCTAGGTTTCTGTGCAAATAAGGGACGAAGGATGATGCTCTCGGTAATAACCGGTCTCTAAAAGATGCGATATGCATTCGTCTTGATCTAGCATCGCTTGAGGTGATTAAACAGAGCCTTAACAATTACTTATGGTAGCCTATCGATAGGGTCAGTGTCGTTATCTTCGCAGCTAGTCTGATAGTCTGATATTACTTTGCCGACCTCGGAGGAATAAACAGTTTGATGAGGCCGGAGCACTGATTCAAACCAAGGACCCACGTGTATTTTGCAACGAACTACTAGCCACTGCGCTACTCGAATCCGTGCGCATATATAGATACAAAATGTACTGTTTTTATTCCATATTGAACAGAATGCATAGGTTTAACAACATGCAAGCAACTGAAAAGTAGTGACCTGAGGTCGGTAACAGTAAATAGTCCCACCGCGAGAATTTGATTGCTGTGGCAGATGCTGGGATGAAATTTCAATAAAATGAAAAGGAGGAGGATATCTGATCAAACATGAAACCCCGAGGACAGTGATTACAGTGAAAGTACTGAAATTCATATCTCACTATCCTATCATAGTCGCACTAAACAACGATGAACATCTGGACTATCCACATGCTTCACGAAGTACCACTTAAATATTCGTAAAATATGAGCTAGAAGGAGGATGAAAAGGAGAATGGAGGAAAGAGAAGGAGAAGAAAGAAGAGAAAGAGGAGAAGGAGAAGAAAGAGGAGATAGAGGAGGAGAAGGAGAAGAAAGAGATGAAAGAGAAGAAAGAGGACAAAGAGGAGAAGGAGAAGAGAAGAAAGAGGAATAAGAGGAGAAAGAGGAGGCGAAAGAGGGAAAGCGAGGGGAAATGGTATGAGAACAACTCAGATCAAAGGGTTTGACTGAACGTGGAATTCCTGACAACCTGCATCGACCTTCCCAATCATTTGTTTTTCACACAGGAGACGTTATCGCCAAAAAAAAGCAGGTGAATAATGATGACTCGTAAATCGATCGAAACCAAACCTTTATAGACAAGGGGGAACGAGTATTGTGATGCTCAAGCCAGAGGCGAAATTTCCCAGCTACGGTCACATAGAAGATCCTCTAAGCCACACAGGGGAAATGCGCAGAATACAAAGCCGTATTAACGAACATAATCCATTTCTTCGGGGAAAAAAGGAAACTTTCCGCGTCCTCAATGACAATGGAGAAAATTACGCACAACCCACTCTCCTCCCTTCCCTCCTCCCTCTCCCACTCCCCTCTTTTTTATGCCCATAATTATACATATCGGAGAGTGGGATGGCGGAGTGGCTAGTGATGCAGTGTACGACGAAGCAAGCTGATAAACGATGTCCTGGTTCGATCCTCTGCTCTATTGTGAGAAAATATTGATATACTGAGAGAAGTCGAAGCTCAAACATGCATAAACCAAAAGATCGAGTCTCACCGAACCTCGGCATGGGAAAAAAAAATAGAACTATCCCATAAACTTTACTCCGTAATGTTTAGTGATATGCAAAACTTTGAACTACAGACGGGCATCGAACCCGCATTTCATCCTATCCGGCGTGCGTGCTAATCACTGCACTATCGAAGTTTCTGTTCTGCTATCACTGCTTCTGTGATAGAAAAGGTATCTGTGCTGTCACCAATGAACTTCTAACGGCTTGCCTGGTACACACGTAATCGGCATTGGACGCAGTTACGCTGACTACTGAACATATATAATCAACAAGAAATCGTTCTATTTGACCGTTTTCAGCAGCGGTTTCGGTGAGTTCGCTTTCTTCAAAGTTCTCCAAGTTAGTGAAAAAGATGAAGAGCCTCTAAGGACAGCTCACAAGAAGTGGATACCACCGAAACGTCAACGATCATTTTGGGGAAACTACTAGGTCGTTCTGTAAGCTTTGGAACTAATTAAAAAAATTTATTATACAGAAGTAGTTAGAACTGCATGATTTGGTATCGTTCAATTGAGCATTTTCTTGCAAACATTTTGCTATACAACTTGTCTATGCTTTCCTTAAGATGGAGCTCTCTTGGGAACAAATTTGCTTGCTACATATGAACGAATGGCACGCAGGGGAACGATGCTACTGAAGCGGTCAGTCGACCATCTCGGGGACAGCTTGACGAGAGCAACTTCTTGTGGATGGCCCGAGCGAGACTGATCCTCCACCCGGTTCTCTCCAACTTCGCACTTCGCGAACCACTCACCTAGCCGTTCTTTCTGCAATCAAACCATCACCTCAGGCCCCATTAACCCTGCGTCCCGTTTCATTAGCATTTTCTCCTCCAAAAAGCTATGAAAAGACAGAGTTCCTGAAAAGTCAAAAAACATGATGGATGGAATTTATCACTATTTATTATCTATCTAACGACTCATCACAGCCATTTTTATTGTGGGAAATACCGTACTTCTAGCATATGATTCGCTTTTTGTCTTCCGGAATGACGTAGAATACTGGTCGAGCATGTCTCCTCGTGATCTCGATGATAGCCTGGTTGTGGCGCTCTTCAGGGCGTTCTTGTTAACCGCGGGTGAGTGTTGGAGGGTGGAGCTCGGCTCCACGCGCGCCGTGGCGAGCAAACAACCACTCGGCCACGGCGCCCCCAAATAAGGTGCAGATTCGGTTAAACTGACTCGATTTTCAAAATAATCCCAAAAAAAGAATGTCTAAAGCCTAAACGAGGTTGGTACGCCAGGGCCATACACCGGTGTTTCGGAGGTTCGTCCTCCTCGTCAGTGACCCCCGCCCCACATTAAGCCCTGCATTATAGCAAGGAGGGAGGCGTATGTGGTATGTGGTGATGGCATAGTGTACAATGACACTGGTCCATCACCATCAGTCGATGGTTTCGGCTGGTAGACCAAAACCAATCCATTAAATCGACTCTTTCTAAAACCTCGCAGTAAACATTCAAAATATTTCCAAAAAAAAAAGAATTTTTTTAGCCGTACACTATGCCATCACCACATACCACATACGCCTCTCTCTTTGCTACAATGCAGGGCTTAATGTGGGGCGGGGGTCACTGACGAGGAGGCGGAAACCTCCGAAACACCGGTGTATGGCCCTGGCGTATTCACCTCGTTTAGGCTTTTTTTGGAAGTATTTTGAATGTTTATCGCGAGGTTACAATAACGGTCGATCTTACGAATCGATTTTCTTGATTCGCCATTGGTGCATAAGTAGCGAGCAAACTTGCTCCCCAAGACAGCTCCATCTTGGAGCAAGTATACGCAAGTTGTATACCAAAATGTTCACAAGAAAATGCACAATCGAACGATATCAAAATCATGCGCAATTTCACATCAAATACCATATTAATAGAACCAAAACCGGAACGAACTTTTCACACAACCCGTTGTGCTCAACAAGAAATCGTTTCAGTTAACCGTTCTCAGCATTGGTTCCGCCCGGCGACTTTGCCCTTCTCGGAACTTCTAGAAGTTATGAAAAAAGCTGAAGAGCTATCGAGGACAGCTCTTAGGAAGGCGAAGCCGCCGAGACGCTACCAATTGACTTCGAAGAAAACATACCAATCCGGCGCAGACCGAACCCGGATTTCACTCTATTCGGGAGCGTATGCTAACCGTGGTGCGTCGGTGGGCAACGGTTAGCATGCGCTTCCGAATAGAGTGAGATCCGGGTTCGAATCCCGCCTGACGCAAACGTTTTTGCACAGCGCTCCACATCATTGGGTATGCTATAAGACCATATCACCGCAAGAAACGATCAAATAAATGTATTGCGAAAGAAGATAGTTTTCAATACCATTTTTTTTTGTACCGACAACCTCGTATCTTTAGCGACACAATTACCCCAAAAAAACGTGAAAAATGAAAAAAAAAAAAACCAGCACTTGGTTGTGGTGAGACAGCAAATTTGAAAACCATATTGGCGCGATATTAGGCGTGCAGTCTGCAAAAACACGCACGCATTTTTGCAGACTGTAATTCCGGTTTTGTCGTGTTTGTCGCGGGTTCAACCCCGTCTGTACCGCATGAACCCTATAGTGCCCATGCGGTGTTGAACTCTCCTTTGAGCCTTGCCGACCGCCGGGAGCTGCCTTTTCCCTGCCTTGTAGCCCTTTCCCCCTCTTTTTCTTTTTAGGAACTGAGCGGAAATGAAGACGGGCGCCCCGTAGAAGCCGAGAGGCCCCACCTTTGACGGACTCTACAGCAATTATGGGCTAATATCGATACGAATAGATATCGCGCTCCAATCACATGACCCTCTATGACGGTCTGCAGTCATTGGATTGTTATTCCATGGTTGTTTATGATTCTAGTGCTTTTTTGCATTGTTATGATATCTCCAATTCACCCGAAGAATTGAATGATAGGCGAAAATTCGGCCTCAGACGGGGGTTGAACCCGCGTTTCAACCATACCGGCGACTCGTGCTACCCATTGCACCACCGAGACCACCGCTTACTCACCACTCGTTCTTTAGTATCTCTCCATTGTAGATATCAGCCACCAACCATTAACAGGTCTGATTCCAGTTAAGCTAACGGCCATTTTGCCTATACAATTCCAAGATTTCTGAAGAGTTTATTCAACCACTCAATTCTCTGAGGTAAAACTGCTATGTATTTAATCTTTTGTTTTTATTTATTTATTTGTTTTTATTTCATATATTTATTTTATTATAATTTTGCATTTGCTTCTTTCAGCCTATCCGCTCCGCATAAAGTCGCTTGTCTTTTTCAGGAATTCCTAGAATGGAGGATGCATTATCACCTTTGGAATCGGGGAGATTCATCGTCGAGCATGCTAATCATATTAAAATCAACGATGAAGGCGTTCAAAAGGTGGCCGATATGGTGAGTGGAGCTGGAATTGTTCCAGTTAGCCAAGTATCGCGTTGTTCAATTACCCAAGTTTTTGGTTAGCCTTCATCATTCGACTTTTATCTGTTGAACTGATTTTTTGGGCAAAATCTGCCACATTTGAGAAAAACAATCCACGCAAGAGGTGCGATTTTGAGGTCAAGCCGTCTTCTTCTCTGAAAGATTTTGCTGAATCATCTTTCAGATCTTAACAGCGGTGAAGAACGGGTCCATAGTAGAGTCGGGATTTGGTGCACAAGTCGTTCATCCTAAGCACAGAGGCAAATCGTCCGTTGACTGGTAAACATTGAACTTTTATGCGGTTTCCCTTTCTTATTTAGATTTTTAGCAAACCTGAGAGGGTTTTTTTCTGTTAGCTTGCAGGATCTTTTTCGTCGATACGATCAACTTCTCGTTTTGGCCGGATAAAGGCTCTAAATACGATATTACTTATAACGGAGTCAAATATACCGGATATTTTGCTGTATGCGCTGCTGTTAACAAGGTGGAGTTCTTTCGTCATGGCGTCATTTTCCACCTATTTTTACGAATTCCCTGCCAAAATCCATGATGTCATTTTAGGCACTCGAATCGGGTCTCAACATCACTTCGGCAGAATGGATGGCACAGGCCCGAGAAGAGGATATAGACATTGTATTCAAGTCCGACAGTGGTATGTTACCGTTTTTAGATTGTTGGGCCACTGTCCCCCCTTCTCAGTCAAAGCTTTTGCATATGCTTATAGTCATAAGGTACTAAATTACTTTTTTATTAGGGTATTCTATTCCCCTGTTGGCTGAACGCGTGAAGGCCATCAATGAATCGGGCAGGGTACTTATAGAGGTGAGCTCCTCCGATTGTTAACAATTGGGGTTCATATGATTGTGAAGTAATAGGTTGGTGAAAAAGAGAGAGAATGTGAGAAAATACTTGTAACTTTTCTGGGTGTCGGCTATTTTTTGTGTTTTTGGGCTCATTTGAAAGCCCATCTTATCCCGCGTTTGTTGGTATATAATTTATCTACTTATCTCAACGTGGAGTTAACAAGCGAGCAAATCAGGTTGTTGATGATGTACGAATGGCTGTTGGGTTCACATGAAAATGGACATCTTCACCTTCATCGCTTGTAAAACAATTATTTATACATCTTATACACCCGAACAAAGGCAAAACTAATAGTCAAAATGCTTTTGCCAACTGTGTCTTTGCCCATCGAGCCAGATTGATGCGTTCACTTGCCACTGTGGCATTTAAACCCAACAGCCATTCGTGCATCATCAACAACCTAATTTGCTCGCTTGTTAACTCCATTTTGAAATAAGTAGATAAGTTATACACCAATCAACGCGGGAAAAGACGAGCTTTCAACTGAGCCCAAAATCACAAATAATGGCCGACACTCAAAAAAGTTACAAGCGTTTTCTCAAAACTTTTTCCTCAACCTATTCAAACTCCGTTTTAACTCTTGATTCGACTACTTTCATAGACCTCGCTCAAAAAGAATAATCTGATATGTCTCTTTATTTGAGCGAACATGTTATGTGGTCTGTTAATGGGCTTTTGTACGGCCCAATACACTAACTGGGGAACTGGAGCACCCCGAGAGTATGGATTGACTAAAGACGAAGGGCTTGCTTGACTGGCGAGTCTGCTAAGGTCGAAACACGTGTGTCGAGCTGTACAAGAGCTCATAAACGCACCAAACGACATGTTGGCTAGTACAGGAGATTCGAAATTTGAGTGTGGTTTTAGAAAAAAACTGGAAGCAAATGGAATAATCTGGTAATCACATAGCATGTCTTGAGCCTTTTATGAGGTCTGATATGGCATCTGTTAAGTACTAGACAAGCGACGGTTTCGCCCTTCCAGGCTTCTCGGTAGTGCGGTGCCCTTTCGGTTCATCCGATCCTTTGTAAGGTATACACCCCTACTTATAGAGGAAAGCTACAAAAAAAGCTAAGGAAGTCTGTAAAAGCAGTCGAATGAAGAGGTATGACTTATTCTACCAGCCAAAAGCTCGGCTATTGGTCACAGCAATATCGGAGAATTTCACCACCTGAGTTGTGGTGATAATATTTAGCGTTGATTCCTTTATAAGTAGGGCTGTATCCTCTTACAAGAGATCAGGGCTGAACCGAAAAGCGCCGCATTACTAAGGAACCTAGAAGGGCGAAACAGGTGCCTGTTAATACTCATCAGTGCCATACCAGGCCTCATAAAAGACTCAAACATGTTATTGGATTATGAAACTGGATTTATGAATAGATTAGCATCAAGTTTGTACTATTTTAGAAATGGGATGGTTCGTTCTATAACTGTGTCCTGGCCGCTGAGGCAAGTGCCCAGAAGTTACTCCAAATCGTTGTCGAGAATTTCGAGTCATTCAGAGATTTTGCGGTCTTTCATGGACAAAAAGGTGGGTATTCATATTCTATTCTTTGTTTTCCGACTAGAAGTAATTGAAATTGCGTGATTTTAGTATCATTCAATTGCGCATTTTCTTTCGAACATCTTGAAATACAAATTTTTTGTACTTGCTTTAAGATGGGACTGTATCACCTGTATCACCTGTAGTCCCGTTGATCATCGAGTGACTCGAGCGGGTACCAGCAACTCTTCCATTTTTCCCTATCGCGTGCAAGAGTAGCCCAGTGGGTTCTCCTCGCTCTAGGGATTCGCTGAGCATCATATCTTTCTTCCATCGCTTTCGTGAAGAAATCGGACCAACGGGTCAGTGGTCTTCCTCTAGAGCGCTTAACGTCCCGAGGAATCCGGTCGGTAACGGCTCTCGTCCATCGGTTGTCGTTGAAGCGCATCACGTGTCCGGCCCACCTTATTTTCGATATCCTGGCGTGTAGAACGGCGTCTCTGATTTTCGATCGTTGACGTAGGTCGGAAGTTCGGATCCTTTGTCTCATTTGCGAAATACGAGATACTCCTAGCATCGACCTTTCGACTGCGCGTTTGATGACGGCAAGTGATCTTTCATCCTGCTTACGTAGCGGCCAGGTTTCTGCTGCATACGTCAAGGCAGGGATAATCGTCGAGTCGAAAAGGTGGGCACGGAGTCGAACGTTCTTTGTCCTCTTCACTACATTTTCGATGCTCTTAATTGTTCCCCAAGCCGCTCGTTTCCTCCTGCTCAACTCTGGGGCTAGGTCGTTCATCATGTTGATTTCACGACCTAGATAGACGTAACTGAAGCATCCGGAGATTGTCGTTCCGTTGAGCGTGAATGGGGCGTTAGAAATCCATCCGTTCCTCATGAACATTGTTTTCGTTAGATTCAGTTGAAGACCGATCTTTCCACAGGCGTTATCGAAATCAGTCAACATTCGTTCCGCTTGGCTGATGTTTGGTGTTATGAGAACGATATCGTCAGCAAAGCGAAGATGGTTTAATTGTCGACCGTCAATTTTCACTCCCATTTCGTCCCATTCTAATGTTCGCATGACGTTTTGTAGGGTGGCAGTGAATAGTTTTGGCGATATTGTATCGCCTTGTCGAACCCCTCTTCTTACGTCAATGATGATATTGTTGTAGAATGGAGATATTCTGGTCGTGAAATCTTTATAAAGCTCACGAAGGATCATTATGTACCGAGTAGGGACGCCCGCTTCTGTTTCTAGTGAATCAAAGGCTTTCTTCAGATCGAATAGGGAACAAATTCGCTTGCTATTCTGTTACGTGCACCAATAGCGCGTAGGGGAAGCTCTTGTGAAGCGCCGCGCAAGATGAAGGAGCTTCTTGTGGAAGGCCCGAACACGACTGATCCTCCAGAGTGTTTTTGTTTTTGGTTTTGAACTTCGCGAATCACTTTCTCGCTGTCCTTTCTGCAACCGTATCATCGCCTCAAGCTACATTAATCTTGCGCGCCGCTTCAGTAGCATTTTCTCCTGTGCTCCACTCGTGCATGATTAGCAACAGAATTCGTTCCCACGAAAACCCCATCTTAGAGCAAATTTAGGTGACCTTAAAAATGTTGGCCAGAAAATGCGCAATTGAACAATACCAAAATCATGCAGTTTTAAATACTTCTGGTTAATAAATTTGATGTTTCTTGCCCTAATACCAAAGTTTATGAAACGACCTAATATTTCCGTATAAGTGGCTTTTCCAAATGTACGCATGTGACGGGGTGTTAGGAGTGCTTTGTGGCACATACGTAGTTTACCAATCGATGGTCGATGGTTCGATCCTGCGCCTAAGATTCAGTAAGCCATCGAACCACTAAAGCTCGGCGATTAATGCCAAACTTGTCCGGAGGAATTGTAGCACTCACGTTATACAGCAGTAGGATCCGGGGAGTCTTTGTAAAGGCCAGATATGCATTTAAATAGGTGTGACGATGCTTGATGAACACGAATGCGTGGCGCAACAATCAGCCATTGATTAACATCGAGAGCATTATGTTCCCAAATAATCTTTTTTGTTTCAAATATCTTTTTCAAGTGTCTTTCCTGAAACGTGCTCAGATTCTGGTAGCAGATGTGTACGGCGCATTGAAAGATGACAATCCTGAATGCGCGTTCCCGGATATTGGGTCAGTTTTTTTTATCACTAACGTATTCTCGTTACATCGTTCATAGATCC